GGGCTGGGGATTTGAACCCGCCACCTTAGGTGTATGTGGCTGGTGCCTTAGCCGCTTGAGCCACAGGCGCCAAGCCGGTAAGGGAACATTTCATCTAACATTTCCATTTGCCCATGTATATGAAATAGATATGAATTACAAAAACCAACTTTTTAAAAAGTACACATTCATGACTCACCTTTCCAAATGATCCCTGACCTAATACTTTTAAAAGTTCAAACTGGGAAGGATCTGCCTTTTCATGTCCTTCTTTTACATGATGTGTGATTGCAATTTCTTTGATACTGCCTTCTTCCTGTTGAGGTAAACATAAGGGGGAAAACAGAGTTAGTCAGAGATACTTTCTTTTTGCTAAAAAGCAAGTGATAGTAATTTAGTGTAAATTAGAAATTCTCAAATGAATATACAAAACTACCCTTTACCGACCCACCAAATATAAAGAAAATACATACCAAGGAAATCTACTTTTGGGTTAAATGTCAGAGATAGTATTATAAAAACTCATTACACAGGCCAGTTTAACTTTTTTTTTTTTTTGAGACAGAGTCTCAAGCTGTCACCTTGGGTAGAGTGCTGTGGCATCGCTGTGGCATCACAGCTCACAGCAACTACAAACTCCTGGGCTTAAGCAATTCTCCTGCCTCCACCTCCCAAGTAGCTGGGACTACAGGCGCCTGCCACAACACCCAGCTATTTTTTGGTTGCAGCTGTCATTGTTGTTTGGCTGGCCTTGGCTAGATTCAAACCTGCCAGCTCAGGTATATATGGCTGGTGCCTCAGCCGCTTGAGCCACAGGCGCCAAGCCAGGCCAGTTTAACTTTTACATAACATAAGCACTAAGTATTTCCAAATCTTCTTTCTCCCTATTGGAGACAATTACAATAAAGAGTTTTATTATTGGGGGGGGGGGCAGAAGGTGTAAAGAAGTCTAAAAATAACAGATCAGAGTAAACTGCTGTGCTCTGGCCTGTGGTTACACTAGGAAGAATCAGTGCTATCTTAAAAAAAAAAAAATATTTGGCTCAGTGCCTGTAGCTCAGCAGCTAGGGTGCTGGCCACATACACTGGGGTTGGTGGGTTCGAACCGGGTCTGGGCCTGCTAAACAACATTGAAAACTACAACAAAAAAATAGCTGGGCATTGTGGTGGGAGCCTGTAGTCCCAGCTACTTGGGAGGCTGAGGCAAGAGAATTGCTTAAGCCCGAGAGCTTGAGGCTGCTGTGAGCTGTGATGCTACAGCACTCTACCGAGGGCTACAGTAAGACTCTGTCTCAAAAAAAATCAAAACAACAACAAAAAACTTGTTTATTGGAAAGAGGGGTTGAAAAATATTCCACAGTAAACATAGAGACTTCTATCTAAATATGGCTGTTTTAAGTACACTGAAGTTTTTATCTATCTGAAATATCTGAGAGTTACTTTCTGATTCTATTAATAGAATAACCTGGGATCTGAGAGAGGAGAAAGGAATGACACTGAAACAAAAAATCAAAAAGATTTAACATTTACAATGGAGGATTAGGTATGAGAAAAAAATGACTATTCAGTATGATAAAACAGTGAAAGAAAGGTCTTTGGGTTAAGAGAAAAAAAAATTTTTTTTTTTTTTTTGAGACAGGGTCTCACTCTGTTGTGCCAGCTGGAATGCAGTGGTGACATCATAGCTCAGTGAAGCCTAGAACTCCTGGGCTCAAGTGATTCTCCCACCTCAGCCTCCCAAATATCTGGGACTATAGGCATGTGCCACCATGCCTGGTTATTTTTAAAATTTTTGTAGAGCTGGAGTCTCACTTTGGAGCACAGGCTGGTCTCCAAATTCCAGCCTCGAGTGATCTTCCCACCTCAGCTTCCCAAAGTACTGTGATTACAGGTGTGAGCCACCAGGACAGGTCAAGAGAAGGATTTTTTAAAGATGGTGGACACTTCTGTATATTTGAGGGGAGGTGGTAGAACAAAGAGAAAATGTATATAAATAAGATTTCCAATTATTTATGTTGAGATCAGCAGATTGAGTACACCTTAATCAAGACATACTATATGTGAAAGACAAAAACTATGATAAAACAAAACCTAACAAAATAAAAAACGTAAGCTTTTCAAATAAAAACTATCATTTCTATTCTGTTGGCTATGTTTTTTTCCTAAGAGCACAAGTACTATTAGTACAATCTAAATGTATTATATATACATAAATAATTCATTTTTATTATCATATTCCATAAAAATGTTTGAGTTCCATTAACACTTTCTGAGATACCCTTAGAATGTTGGCAACATAAGAAATTATAAAAATTTCTCAAAAAGATATATGAGGATATCTAACATGGTATCTTTTGAAAATGAGTAGTAAGAGAAAAAAAAATGCTCCCAGAAGATAAAAAGGGATTCAGGCCCATCATTTTAGTTTCTAAGACAGAGATTATAGGTTATCCTACTACTTAGGCAAGCAAATCCTTTTGGATTCTATCTGAACCTTGGCAACAATAACTGAACAATCTCCTAATACTGGTTTAGTTCTTTATTTTGTAATTTTACATGCATTATCTCCTTAAATTCTCACAACAATCCTGTGCAGTAGGTATTAGGGTAGAATCAAGCATTAGCTGACTCTAAGATGTTATCTCCTTCTTCCAAATAAGACCAAGGCACAAGGGCTTCAGACACCTTTCTTTCTGTATGAGACCAAGAGCTTCAGAGTGATAGCTATTAGTAGCTATGATAGGAAAGGCAGTAAGTAAATTAGCAAATTCTTCTACAAAACCTTTTAAAGAACAATGTATACATGAGATTAAGTAAGATTGAGACTGAAATCCAGCAAATACTACTATTAAACACACCTACCACATATCAAGCTTGTGCTAAGTTTTTTTCCACCTTTTGTCTTATATTTATGCTTTACAACAAATCTTTGACCACATGTTAATGTTACAAAGGGCAGATGATCACACAAACTTGTAAACCTCACAGCAAGCACAAATGTTTCAGAATTCTCTATGTATTCCCCCATTCACAACTAGAAATTTGACAGATCTAAAGGCAAAATGGTTTGAGTACTATACAGTATAGAGTTTAAAGAGAGTAAGTGAAGACTAAAGAACACAAGCCAGTAAGTGGTCGACTTAGGGCTCAATTCTAGGTCTTCTGACTTTTAAAACAAGGCCCTTACCATTATACCACACTGAGACCGTCAGAGGCTCTTGGTAGTTTCCTATCTAAGATTAAGAACAGGAAATTACAGACATATGCCTCTGGTATTTGTAACTGGTCTGTATCTTTTAGCAAAGTCAGCTAAGTTAATTAGAGCAGTGAACTTTAAACTTCTGGAAGTATATCCTTAGCAGTGTAAAAAAAATTAGTATGTACCAAATATTTGTATACTTATTGGTTTCATAAATTATATACTTGTAAAGAAGTTATCCTCTTTCTTTTCTATACCCCAAAGTGCTGTCACATTGCACTTTGAAGACTAATGGATTACAGACGTGAACTCCTAGGGCCAAGTTTATGGGTTGGGTTCTAGCATGTGTCAGTTAGTATAGTATAGAAGAAAAATATCTGCTCAAAAGCCTATCTGGAATCTAGCAGCCATTTATGCCCTTAAATCATGAGGCTGTGAGGAACTATATTCTGTAATGTTTTATATGAATTCACCCTTTTCTTTCTTGGGTGAGTGGGATGTGATTTAACAGGTTACAGTATTTTTTTTTCCACCTTGTATTTCATAGCAAATATTTACTATAGTTGCCTGGTACAAATAAAGATGTGACACAGCAAAGAACCACCACCACTGAATTATAAACAAATGCAGGTATACGGGATCAAGCCTTAATCCTACACAGTGTGAGCTACAATCATATCATGAACATCAGAATAAATAGCATTTACTATTCTCATCTTTGATGATTGCCCTTCCTTTATGCTCAGGTTTAATAATTTACTAAAAAAAAAAAAAAGGTACAGTCCTGGCCAGGCATTGTGGTTCACATTTGTAATCCTAGCACTCTGGGAGGCCAAGGCAGGTAGATGGCTTGAGCTCAGGAGTTCAAAACCAGCCTGTGCAAGAGTAAGACTCCAGCTCTACTAAAAATAGAAAAAAAAAATTAGCCAGAAATGGTGGTGCAGGCCTGCAGTCCCAGCTACTCGAGAGGCTGAGGCAAGAGGATCATTTGAACCCAGGTCTCTGAGGTTGTGAGCTATGATGATGCCATTACACTGTACCTAGGGCGACAGAGTGAGATTCAGTCTCAACAACAACAAAAATGTAGTATGTATGGTGTTGGGAATACCTTTCATTCTTTCTTTTTCTATTTCCAGTGGTATTATCTGGGTACAAGCCTTCATCACCTTTCATGTAGAAAACTGAAACTAGCCTGTATCCACTTGAATTCATTTTTCTGAAAGTATACAGTTCAAGTCATATGACTAGGCTGCTCAAAAACTCCTCTAAGGTTCTCCAAATTAAACACACTGCTTCACTTCAGCATTGGAGGCCCTCTACTAAATGGTCTTAACCTACCTTTCTTGTACACATGTTATCTCCCAACATTTCCTTAACCATACTGACGAGTCAACCTGGGTTGTTTCCTATTCCCTGATATTTTTGGTTTTAAAATCCAAGTAATATATGACATTAGTAACAAATAAGCAGCTGCAGAAAAGCTTATAATGAGAATCCAGTCTCTTCTTACCCCATACTTAAACTTAAAAAAAATAGCTCTGTGTTTACTTTTTGTACAATGTCTACTACAGCGGTTCTCAACCTGTGGGTCACGATCCCTTTGGGAGTCTCCTGCATATCAGATATTTACATTACAATTCATAACAGTAGCAAAATTACAGTTATGAAGTAGCAACGAAAATAATTTTATGGTTGGGGGTCACCACAACATGAGGAACTGTATTAAAAGGTCGTGGTACTAGGAAGATTGAGAACCACTGGTCTATTGACCTAAAAATAAGAAAAGATAAGGGAGGTGATCACTTATACTATTTCCTTTCTTTCTATCATCTTCCTCCCTCATTGTTCAATGATTGTATTTTTACAGAAACCTCATCTTCTCTCAGTTTTGGACAAAATTCTAAGTCCTTACTTTGTAAAAGGAAGCTAATAGTTCCTATACATCCTTTCTCTCAAACTCCCCCCCTCACTTGCTGCTAACTTTATTTTGAAATTTTTATTAAGGCTATTAATTTTAAGACATTTAACGTTCTGTCCTGCAACAACAACCATGCTCTCTCCAGAGCCTGATTCCAAAGCTGAAAGCCTATACAACTACATCCACATTATCATGACAA